TAAATGTAGAACAGACTCACTCCACACCCCCCGCACCCGACTTCCCTTTGTCAAGACAGGAAATAGAGCGCCAGAGCGGATAGCGCAGAGATTTTGACGTAGCAGAAAAGCGAGAAGTGACCAAGAGTTTGCAGGCAGAAACGTTCGGGAGGGGGGGAGGCAGTGTGAGAAATGCGAGACATGAGGTGAGGAAAGAGGGAGTGAGCAGAGAAGAGAGAGAGAGGGAGGGAGCTGAGGCCAGTCGGTCTGCTGAGTGTTGTGTCAGACGTTTCACACAGAAAACCGCCGCTTATTAGCTGATCTATTGCGCTCAGCAGAAAGCCTGTGCCCACACTTGCACCTCTCCATCACCATCACTGTAAAATGAGTGTTTCTCTGTGTGTGTGTGTGTGTGTGTGTGTGTGAGTGTGTGTGTGTGTGTGTGTGTGAATGCTCGACATAAGTCGATTTTAGAGTTTTTTGAATGGGTATTTTACCGGTGTTGGACGTGTTTTTGTAGCTCCCGAAAACGTCAAGACAGACTTCTAGAAAGTGTTAATGCCAAGTTAGAACATGTTAATATTATACGATATAAAGCATCAAATGGTCTTCTCTCTCTCTCTCTCTCGCTCTCCACATAGCAGGTCCGATGTGTGATGAGGCAGCAGAGGGGAAGAGGAAAGGTCGCCCTAAAGCAGAAGTGCAGGAACTGAGAAGCATCCCTGTGAGTATCTCTCTTTGAACTGAGCGGATGTCTTGAAGTGGCCCTTTGTTTTTCTATTTCCTGGCAGCTCCCCAGGAATATACACGATATATATATATATATATATATTTATATTTCTATACTGTATATATGGTACAGTTATAGCGATAATCCGTAGATGCATTGAAGTCTCTCCTCCTCACCCCGAGCAGGCCCATATGATAGTACAATGGAAGGAGGAGTTTAAGCGCCGCTCCAGAGTTAAGTGTCCGCGTTCGGGCTGCTGGTTAGAGTTCCCCAGCATCTATGGCGTCAAGTACCACTATCAACGCTGCCAGGGGGTGAGTCACCAACCTTCTGTTCTTTTCCTGTATGTGCGGCTGTTTCCGTCCTTGTGCTTCAGAGTAGTCTTGATCACTGAAGAACAAGCATCGTATTGCCCGTGAGGTTAGTTTAGATCAGGGTTTAAACCTCCAGATAATTGGAAAAAACAGCTGACTACATTCCCATGCACCAAATAAAAAGGCTCAGTTTTTCGGCTGGTCGATGTCGCACAGCACGTCAAAATATGGAAAAGGAGGTGCAGGAGCTGCTTGTCCCATTTTGTTGTTTGTGCGCGTCAGAATGTTTTTTACCCTGCTGGGCGGCTCGTTGGACCGTAACATAGCAATGTAAGCGTGTTTGTACTTCCTCCTAGAACTGTGGGGTTTGTCTTCTGAGCATGCATCACTTCTGCAGCTTTGCAAACTATTGGCTTGTTAGTTTCTGTTCAACGCAACAGCGCCGGTCGTAAACAGGAAGGAGGCCGTGTGTTGCAAAGAGCCATAAAAGCCTTTATCAATACTCCACGTGCTGCACAAATATCCAAAGAATGCTCCTGAAACCTAATATTGGCTTGTCCACCTTAAACCAGGCGATTCCATTCAAAATGAGGCCTAATTCAGAATATCCAAACAAAATAATGTTGATGAGATCAATAGTGGATTATGAGTGTGCAGGTAGACGTACACACACAGCTGTTTAAGCGCCTCCCAGTAGCAGCGTCCCCTGTGGTTTTGTGCTTTACGTAAGTGAGTGAGCTCACTTTAAATCGCCTCTCCTCTCGTCTCCGTTTGTGTCAGGCCACCGTAGCCGAGAAGCTGAGTCATGGCTGTCCCTACTGCGAGGCGGTGTTTGCCACGAAGGTGCGCCTGCAGAAGCACAAGCTGTGGAACCACCCAGAGAGGCCGAACGTGGAGCCCAAAGACGCGCAGCCCAAGCTCCAAAAGGCCCACATCAAGTCCAACGCCAAGAAAAGGTGACTGGGACTTACAGCTCACATTCCCCGCCCACGTAATGGTGCCGGTGACGTGGTAATGCTCAAATGCCCAAATCTGTCCCTCCCCCGGTGCGTGGTTTCAGGCCCATGGAGAACGGACCCCCCTCTCCCTTGTTCTTCAAAGTGAAAAAGATCCACGAGGGGTCGGCGCCCTCCCTCAATGGAGAGCTGGCCCACCAGAAGAGCGAGAGGAAACTGCACAGCCACGGCCCGCCTCCGCAGCAGATTCACCAGTCCCAGCCGGTCCAGCCTCAATCCCACCAGTCCCAGCAGCCCCACCATCTCCATCAGCCTCACCAGCCCCACCAGTCCCACCAGCCCCACCATCCCCATCAGCCCCACCATCCCCATCAGCCTCACCAGCCCCACCAGTCCCAGCAGCCCCACCAGTCCCAAAGCACGTCGTCCGACGGCGAGGGCACCGACAGCGACGGGGACAGCCTTCCCGCCTCCTTCCCCGACGAGGACCCGGAGCGAATGAGGCACAGTAAGATGGCGGCGTGTCTTTGGGTTTTGGACTCGTGGGTTGTCATGGTTTTTGCTGGTGTTTCTTTGCGGGTGTTTTGACCGTTCCTCGTCTCTCGAGCCAGGACGGAAGCAGAAAACGCCGAAGAAGTTCACCGGAGAGCAGCCTTCCATATCTGGGACGTTTGGATTGAAAGGTAGACGCAAAGACATTTCTGTTGTAATGTAATCGTGTGACTTTTGATTAAATGTATGTTGTGTCGGATGTAGCGGGATCTACTGGAATATGGTCTGATGGGCATATTTCATACCATTGTGCGGAGCATTTGTGGAAGCAAATTAATTCTCTGAGCAGATTAGTCAAAGCTAGCTAGCACGTTTTGTTGACTTGTCTATTACAATACAAGTTATATTAACTTATTAGCCGGCCCTGTGTCGCCAGGAGGAGAGCAGACCTCCCAGCACGGCTAGCCAGTTAGCTAGCCAGCTAGCTAGCTTGTCCATCTCTGGAGCTGGCTAATTAGCTAGCTGTTGTCCAGACCCTGCCGGAGAAGTAATCTCCAATCGGCCTTTGGATAGGCTCACTTTCTTTTACCAGTGTAACACAAAAACATGGTGGAACTAGCGAGCTAGCGAGCTAACTAGCCAACAATTACTAAAATTACCAAACGAAGCACATTGCTATCTCCAGTGGAAAACGCACAAAAGCATAGTGGAATTAGCAAGCTAGCTAAGTAGCATGGTAACTCCCTCCATATCATTGACAGCATTAAGTTGTCCCAATTGGTCTCATTTAGCTGCTGGCCATTTAACTTGCTACCACGCTGTCACGCGTTATAATAAAAAAGGCCGTTGGAGACCTGACTGTAATCTAATCCTAACCATTAGCATTAGCTTCATATCTCCATATGGAGACGTGTGAGGATTTAGAAACACATTGTGTAATCTTGTCTGACTGATCACGAGTGTTTCCCGCTTCTGCCGATCAATACTGCCGGTCTTTGAGCGCAGCTCCCCGAGCACCTCACTTTCTCCCCCTCGTCTCATTCACACGCTGAACCCGTCTGATGAGTCATGAAGCGCGGCTGTAAGCCACTTATCGTCACTTATCAAACAATCCATCCACAGATTGCGGGACCCGCCGCTCTCTCTTGCTCTCTTTCAGTCCATCTGTCACTACAATTTCCTTCTTTTGTGTGCGTCTTGTGGGACCCTGTCCTCCCTCCGCTTGTGTCACTCACTTTACTTCGTGCAGCGCCACCATCACTACAGCGCGTCTGTGTGTTGCAGGTATGACCAAGGTGGAGGAGAAGCTGAAGGCGGGCCGCGTGAAGCGATCAGAAGGGAGCGGGTTCAGTGAGGACCCTCAGAGAAGACCTGCTGCAAGTCAGACCTCCAAGAAAGATCCAGCTGCAACCAGCTCTGGTAAACACCTGGATCTTTTTTCCTTTTTTATGAATAAATCAATTCGGAAAAGGGGTGCATTTTCTCAATCTCTCATTTAGTATGAGGGACGTCAGAAAATAGGTAAACCTCCCAATAATTCAATTGCCAAATAATAAAATGTTTGGCAAATGTTTAAAACACTTACATTTTATCATCAATATTGTTGTTAAATGGCGATCGGCTAATGGATTAATGGACTAATCATTACAGCACCATAATATTTGACCAATATTTAACTAAGCCCAGACTTTCCGTGGAAAATGGAAGAAGTTTGTTCGGCGACCAGCAGTGATATGTAATTACGAAAGTCATAAATAGTGACGTCTGATTTCATGGTTGAAATGCCAAACAGAAATGGCAATTAATGACGAGAAAAATAAATACATTTTCATAATGTTAAACCAAATGATAAACCACTATGTATAAAAATAAGCCGGTTCCAGACTACCTAGAGCCTCTTTTCAGGCGTATTAACAGCACATTATCACGTGTGACTTTAAAAGAATTAAACTGTCAAATAAACATGAATACTAAGCGCGCATTTGGAAATACTACGCCCCTAAGGGGCACCTTACTTTGCACCTCGTTTCAGGTGCCGACACCCACTGGCAGCGAGCCATCCACGAGCGGGGCGAGGTGGTGTGTCCCACCTGCTCCATCGTCACCAGGAAAACAGTCCAGGGCCTGAAGAAGCACATGGAGATCTGCCAGAAGGTCAGTGGGGGCCGTCGTGCATCACACACATAAATGAAGCTCTGTGAACCCACGGCTGTACTTCCCCACATTGGATCGTAAACCAGGAGCCTTTACATTGATTGGACCGGCTGAAAAAACAACGCCCGGTTGCGGTGGGAGGCGAGGTAATAAACGAGGGAATTGGGGGCGACCGTTATATCGGCCCGGGAAGGTCTCGTTGGCCCCCCCAGAGAGAACGCCGTTTCCTACGCTTCCTGCTACGTTAATGGCTCCATGGCCCGTTGACCCGCGGGACTCTATTAAAGCGACAATCACCGCTGGGGTCACTCGCCTCCGGAGCACCTCCGTCCCCCGATCAATACTGAGGCGAGGAGGTTCCTCTACAAAAAGGTGTTACATCGGTGTTAAATTGGCTTTTCTGCTTCCCACAAGTTGCCTGATGTGGCCTTTGTACTTCGTTCCCACATAAAAGCACTAATGTCAAACTCCCATCGGTTTACAGCAGCGGCGCGCTGCATCGCCGTCTCCAATGAGGAGCCCCGTTCGCAGTAGCGGCTCAATAATTGAAATGTCACGTGAGCCCGTCTTTGGCCTTTAACCCCTGCAGCTCCAGGATGCCCTGAAGTGCCAGCAGTGCCACAAACAGTTCAGGTCCAAGGCCCGGCCTCAACTACCACAGCATGGCCGAACACACCGCCAAGGTACGTCAACTCTCCACACGTGTCGTCCCCTCAAAAGAACACGCGGACCTCCGAGTGAACAAACACTTCACTGCTAACGCGATAAAGGTTAACGCAGCGGGGACGTGACCGAGGACGCTCTGTTTCAAGGTGCCAGAACGCGGCATGCCGACGCGTTCCAATTACTTTTGGCTCGCGCAAAAGCGGAACCAACCAACCGGCCGGCCTGTGCCCCCCCGTAAAGTGTCCCTCGGAGGACGCCATTGACTGTTTCACCACTGTCACACTGACCCACTGAACAGAGGCAGTTAGTTATTAATAGACACCGAAGCCCTGCACCCATTCAGACTCGCACTCCGCGGTGTCGGCTTTCTCTGTGTTTGGTGACCGGCGCGCCGCGTGCACAAGGACACGCCTCTTCCACCCGCGAGAGCCGCATCCCGTTTCACGCGTTATCGTCGGCTGTTTGTTTGTCTTTGTCCTCGCGCCGCTCACTCTCCGCCTCGGCTGCGGTCGACCCCGTGACGGCAGGGAGCGCCGCGGTGGCGGTTTCGTGGCCGTGACCGTCTGATCAATAATTCATTGGTGGTGTTTTTGTGTGAGCGCACTACAGTTTGTGGTATTTATAGCGGTGAGGTTTAATGTAGTGCGTGTGTGTCTTGTGTGTGTCAGAGATGCTCATTGGTTCCGCTATTTTTCAATCCAATATATTTTATTTTGTCTAGCCCAAAATCGCAAATTACAAATTTGAGGGCTTTACAGTCTGTACACATGCGACATCCTCCGTCCCACATCAGCACAGAAAAACACCCCAAAAAATGAAAAAAAAAAACCTTCCATGGGGAGAAAAGGGAAGAAACCTTATAGAGAACGCCAGAGAAGGGATCCCTCCCCCGGGTGCACGGCAGGACCACCATCAGATGATCAGAGCACATAATTAAAACCTGTGATTGTGCTGCAGACTCGAGGAGCTGCTGATTGAAGAAAAATGTTCCTCATGTGCAGGTTTGACTCGTGTCATTCTACTTTTCCTTTTTATTATGAAATACTGTGTGTGTGTGTGTGTGTGTGTGCGCACGGTCGCGTGGCCCCCCGGGGGGCTACCGGAGGGTCAGAGGTCGCCCACGGAGTTTGACCTCGGTGTGGTCGCGACAGCCCCCCTCTTCCCTCCCGTCCCGGAGCTCTCATGCGACTGGTTTGTTTTCCTCAGCCCTCGGGAAGCGACGGCCAGACGGGCGACAAGCACGAGGAGCGGGAGCGGCTGCGGCGGGTCCTCAAGCAGATGGGACGGATCAAGTGTCCCAGCGAGGTCTGTGGTCCCCGCTTTGTCTGCCCGAGTCGGTTCGCACACTCTGACTCTACTGAGACCAGTCTCATCCATCATCGGTTCTTATGGATTATTCTGTGGGGGAAGAGGAATTAATTAAGAAAATAATCACATTTTCTTTATTATTCTTGTGTCTCACTCTGGAGCTTCTGAAGAACCGCTAAACAAATAATGTATTAATCCTGTTCTCGCCATAATACTGTTTTTTATTTATTTCCAATGAGGTTTCGGGGAGGTGAGGGACACATTCTCACGTCATCTGTCAGTTTAATTTTTTTTTATTTTGTATTTCTTTTCTTTCTTCTCTCAACGCCTCATTATGACAAGTTGCTCCTGGGGGAGAAGGGGGGGGGGGGGGGGGGGGGAAAAACCAAAAACTGGGGAATAAAATGTCTTCTCGGTGACAAAAGAGCAGCTCTCACTTTTAAAATCATCACTTTGACCGATTCTCGGAATTCTTGTCCCCCCCCACTGACCCAGTTTTCTGGTTCCGGTCTGTTCTTCATTCATGTCTCGTTTCTGTCACTGACGTCACTCGATCACACACACACACACACACACACACACACACACACACACACACTCGTATGCAGGGTTGCTCGGCCCACTTTTCCAGCCTGATGGGCTACCAGTACCACCAGAACCGCTGTGGCTCTGACGACGAGAAGCCTGTGTTTCTGTGCCAGCACTGTGGGAAAACCTACCACTCCAAAGCCGGCAGAGACTACCACGTACGCACCGAGCACCCCCCGGCCATCGCAGCCACCGCCGCCGCCACGACCCCCACCCCCGCCAACAACAGGGACCTCCTCGCCGACACCAACAACAACACGGGCAAAGACGGGGTGAGGTCGCTGTCATTGCGGGAGGCGACGCTCCACTGACGTAAACTCTGACGTCACTGTGCTGAATTGTCACTGCTTGAAAGTAATTGTATCAGCCTCAACTGGTTCCTCAGCCCTTTCCACTCAAGAGGTGTGCTGCTCCCCCAGGTGGCCTCTGGGGAGTCTCCGCCTCCAGGGAGGAAGGAGCAGAGCCAGCCTGAGAAGAAGGACTGGACCCCGGTGGGCCCGCCCAAGGAGAAGGAACGAGAGGCCGGGGACAAGGAGCGGGACAAGGAGAGGGACAAGGAGAGGGAGCGGGTCAAGGAGAGGGAGTGGGTCATGGAGAGGGCGCCGCAGGCCGCCAGCCAGGGCGACGACTTTGAGCGCACGCCGAGCGGCAGGGTGAGGCGCCGGTCGGCTCAGGTGGCCGTGTTCCACCTGCAGGAGATCGCGGAGGACGAGCTGGCCAAGGACTGGGGCACCAAGCGCCGCATCAAGGACGACCTGGTGCCGGACAGCAAGAGGGTGAGGACAGAGACGCCTGCAGATCTGACCTGGCTTCCAGATGATGATATGCGTCCCGTGTGAATGTCTCCTTTGTCAATCATAAGGCACAATTTTGGATGCTAATTGCCGCCAATTCTGGTTACATCTCTGCGTTTCTAAACCTGTCCTGTGATAATCCTCCTCACCTCTGCATGTATACATGGTTTCTTCTCTGTGTAGTTAAACTACACCCGTCCGGGCCTCCCCAACTTCAGCCAAGGGCTCCTAGAGACCTGGAAGAACCAGGTGAAGGAGAAGGGCTTCATCTGCTGCACCAACGAAGTGAGAACGTGGGCTTAAGAGTACAGATTCAGAGGCGCGTCCCGTTGTTGAGTTCACAGGAATGTGTCTTTGCTCTCTGTTTACCTCGTTTTGTCTCAGAACTGTGAAGCCGTGTACTCCAGCGTGTCGGGACTGAAAGCCCACCTCGCCAACTGCAGCCAGGTACAAACCCCCGAGCGACGGCAAATAAGAACACACACAAACACACAAACCTTTAGCCCACGTTCCGCTGTTGGTCGGCAGACGTTAAGATGAAACGTGGTTGTGAAATGGAAATAAAATCTTCTATATATCTAATTATTATTAGTTATTCAGAGGAGGCAGTCTTTGCTCAGCTGAAACAGCTTCTGTAGACGTCGTTCTGAACTGAATCCTTAGTGTGTGTGTGTGTGTGTGTGTGTGTGTGTGTGTGTTTGTGTTGCAGGGTGGTGGAGAACTGGGAAAGTACACTTGTCTGATCTGTCAGAAGGACTTTAGCTCGGAGAGCGGTGTGAAGTACCACATCAGCAAGACACACTCACAGGTGGGTTCAACTTCACAAACCGCTGTCTTATTTATAGTTACTTATTATATTATTATTATTATAGTTAGGTTTTCACTCACGGGCAGCATTTCCTTGTTTGCTGTTAACATTCAGTCAAACCCGACTGAGAAGCGGTCGTCCACGGATGTTACGCCTGTGTGTGTTTTGCAAAGTGCTTAAGTCGTGGGAACAAATATATGTGAAACACACAATCATTTGTTTAGTTGATTAATACACAACATAAGAGCCTGGTGCCCCACATGTTTAACATCTGTAACCATTAACTTCTTATGGGTCTTCAAGGGCTTCATATAAACTGTGTTGACGGACCCTCTGCTATGTCCCGCCCCCTGGATTCAAACTGGCCAATCACAGCTTAGCCTCAGCCGGCTCCGCCAAAGTAAAACCCTGTGGCGCTAACATTAGCGGTTAGCACTTCATTAACCTGTCGCTGCTATGCTACGCTAGCGTTTGAAAGTCGCTAGACAGCTCGCAGGAGCAGCAGAGAGCAACGATACTTTACAACATCCTCTCGTCGCGTTCTGCTGTCAAAACGAGCGTCCGTCTTCGGGTACAAAGGAGGTGGATCACTAACATGCGATAAGATGAGATTCTGGTGTCTCCTCAGAACTGGTTCCGCACGGCCGCCAGCCAAGCGGCCGCCGGCGCCAAGGCCAAGGCGCCGGAGAACAACGGCGTCAAGGGCGAGCCGAGGAACGGCGCCACCGGCAAGAAGAGGGGCCGCAAGCCCAAAGAGCGCCCCCCCGTGGCCGCAACCGAAGCCTCGCCCGGCACTCCGGGCTCGACCCCCCCGCATTCCCCCGCGCGGAGCCCCGCCCCGACGGACGCCGGCGGGCGGAGCAGACCCTAGAGGCTTGGGGGGGGCGTGGCATGCCGTGGCGTGGGGCCCCTCGAAGGAGCTCGCTGGACTCTTGAGGGGACAGGAAGTGGGACGTTCAGCGCGGACCTTTTTCGGTGTCGGCGCGTCTACCGCTGCGAGCGGCGCTCTCGGGACGGTAGCGTTTTATTCCTTCATTCCGCCTTTGTCTCCTTTGAAAACATTTTCTGTTTGAGTAAATCAACGGCGCGAGCGTTTTCTAAAGCGTAGCGGTGTAGAGAGCGGGTTAAAAGGATATTCTATTAGCATGGCGATGTAGTTAACGATAGTGTTCTCACTCTTTCTTTCCTCCCTCCCACAGATATACTGTACTGTGTACATAAACAATATCTATATCTATATATCTATATACTCAAAGCAATGATGCGTCGGATCATGGGCAGCGTGTAGTGCAATGAGCATCCTTTCTCCGTGGTCTTCATTCGTCTTGGTTTCTCATTTTGAGTTTTAGTTTTTCATGTTTTGAAGTGAGCAAATGTCACATAAGCTAAAATGTTCTTAATCACTTATTTCATCCTCCAGCTACGACGTGTAGTTTCCTTCCTGCACCGCGTGAGGATGGAAGATATCTGTTGCTCTTACACTTAAGTTAATAAGCAGAACCTTACCCCCCCCCACCCCCGACCCCCCCGGACCCCCCGGACCCCCCGACCACCCCGAGAAGTGATTGTTGTCCAGCGGTGAGGGATCAGTCCACACGTAATGAGGCATTCTTTCGTTCATTCAGAACCCTTGAAGAGGGGCAGGACGTTTGGCGCGGAGCTCGTTGCAGCACAATCAAAGGAGGCTGCGGCTTCGGCTTCAATCAGAGAACGTGTTTTTATAGGGAGGCCGAGGGAAATACTCTTTTATCAAAGCAGCGGAGAAGAAAATAATCTCAAGTGAAGATTCTCTCATGTTGATGTATATGAATTAACTCAAAGTTGTCGCCTTGCACTTTAACCCGTAACCCCTCCCGCTCCCCTCCTGTATTTTTGCACTGTGGGAGAAATATTTTACTGTAGAGATTAAAAAAAACTAAATTTGTCCTGACACGGATAACGCTTGAGTCTGTGGATGGAATCTGTAATCCAACGTGACTCGACACACAAAGCCATAACGGGTCTCACAGTTAGTTCAGCTTAGATTCTAAGGAGGATGATAGCGATCCAATATTATTTAAGACATTTACGAATCTAAAACGTGTGCAATCACAGAATATTTTGACTTTAACATGTTTAAAGTAGATACTTGAAACCACAGTTATACTAATATTTGATTTATATTTGGAGTCTGCATCCATGAAAACAATGACTTGAATAAAAACAGATCATAAATCTATTTTATATTCTCCCCACATGGGAATCTGACAGCTTTTGGACAAAGTTGTGATGTGGGGATAATAAAGGGTAATAAATGAATAAATGATAATAGATAAAGGGTGCTTTATTCGCCACTCTACCTTAATCCATCCCGACGTTTCCTCCTCACCGGCAAGTCGTCTGAGCTTTTTGTCAACGTCATCATTCAACAAAGACGAATAATAATCTCGCACTGATGTCAGCAGAACATTTTCAAGAAAATTTAAAAGATAATAACAATAATGTGTCCCAGGTGGTGTCGTCCCTACGCCGTGACCCTTTTTTTATATCGCAGATGCGGAGATGGGACCTGAATTTCTCCGTCGTTAATCAGCTGGCGGAGCTTCGTTCAGGTGGGGATGATTATGCACGCGTTCCGTCTCTTCTATCCAGGTTCAAACCGACGGACAGGACGAGTTAGACAAGCACTGATCGGTCCTCGGACCCCGTTTTCTTTCTTTTTGTTCGATATGAAGTCTGTCCAGACCTTGTGTGTGTGTGTGTCTGTGTGCGTGTGTGCGTGCGGGTGAAACAGTTAGCACCTTTGTAAAAGGCCGGATTGTGAGGGACGGTCACACAGTTTTCCTGTGGAGCGTCGGCACAGAATCGGCCCATCGGCTGCTTGTTGCGCGCTTGGTCGACGACGCCACGTGAGCGCGTTCACCTGGCGAGCGTCGGTGTTGCAATACGACAGCTAGGCACTGCTTTTCGACAGTGGGTATTTTATATATTTTATCACGCGCCCTTTACTATCCGTCTTCCTACCATGTGGAGAACACGCTTGCACCCCGCGGTGCGTGTTAGAGAGTACAGCAATACACCGTGTTTAGCTGGATATCTTGTTGGCTTGCTGATATTTTGATATTGACGTGTTTTTCTCAAAATTGTATGGCTTTTCCTTTGCCCCCCGCCCGCCCCGCCCCCATTTGTTTGCTTTGAAAGATTACACATTATGAAATTTAAACAAAAAATAGGTTGATTAAAACCTGGGCTTGTTTCCGCTGTACGAGATGACAAACACATGGAGAGGGTCCTTCATTATTATCTACTCGATATGGGACAACAAGGCATATGTGCGTGTGTTTGTGTGTGTGTTTAGTGCACTTACTATACCATGAGCTAGGCTTGACATAGGAGTGTTGTTGGAGCTTTCTAGTTACCCTGACTGTGTGTGCTGTGACTTTTGTACCCGGGGAAAGCAGCAGGCTCAAGCGTCTTCCCTTTTGTCAGCAATGTTATTTCCAAAAAAAAAACAAGGTCGAACCTTAGAAATTTCCCCCGAGACCGGCTGAGAATTTAAAAGGTGACGTTTAGCTCATTACCGGTTATTATATTTAGGTACCAGGTGAAATGAGACTAATGGTGTGTTTCCATATCTGAAATGAAGCTGTGTAGAACATAACGTAAGAGGCATCAGTGCCTCCGTTGAGTCTGAGATGTTACATTTTTCCCCAAAACTTGTTGTATTACCTGTGCATTAGTATCCCTCAGCTAATTAATAAAGGTTTGTTGACTAAAACTGTGTCAACCTCATTTCAGTCAACCGCTCGAGACAAATGTTTCGCTCCAATTTGAATAGTGCCATGAATTACACACACGTTTGTCTATTCAAACCATCATTTTGCATTTCGTCGGATCACAAGAGTGTCTTTGTCTCGATATGAAGAAGGGAGGGACTGTATGAAGGACGTATTTCTTTGTGCCAGCTTTAGGGACCACGTCTTTCTCTGTGACTCACTCCCACTCAACAAACAGAATGGAGCCATCATCAGAGACTGAACGATTAAAAACACATTGCATGTATAATTTGACTTGCACTGTTCCACAAAGGAGTCTCTCTCTGGTGTTGAGTGTGTATCATCCTAAAGTATGTAAAGTGAGAAGCACTATATGCATCATACATAATATTATCCTTATTAGTAATATTTATATTTATATAGATTTTTTTTTATAGATTTAGACCAACGTATAAACTTGACAGATAGTAATTGAATATACATTTATTTGTATATATTATTGTCAGCATTAAATACCTCAGGTCTTAAATATAATAGTGTATATATATAGCCCGAGTGCATTCTGGGACTTGCAGTTTGTCCGAGTTGAGTGTGTATCATCCTTAAGTATGTAAAGTGAGAAGCACTATATGCATCATACATAATATTATCCTTATTAGTAATATTTATATTTATATATATTTTTTATAGATTTAGACCAACGTATAAACTTGACAGATAGTAATTGAATATCAATTTATTTGTATATATCATTGTCAGCATTAAACACCTCAGGTCTTAAATATAATAGTGTATATATATAGCCCGAGTGCATTCTGTGACTTGTAGTTCGTCCGAGTTGAAGGGGAGGGGGCCTTGCCGGTTATGCCTACAAGTCCCATGATGCCTCACGCCTGAACGCTGGCTCTACTCTGAACACCTGATTGTCAACAGAGTGGAAATGTCGGCGGTTCGCAGGGAAGAAGCGCTCCCACAGATGGAGACCGAAGGGAGAACTTCCCCTGTGTCGACCAGGTAAACCGGTTAACGTTGAGTTTCTCTTCACCGGAAATCACGGACCTCATACAACGGTTATTTATTTCTTTGGGGGGGTGGGGGGCTTTTCTAAACATCAACGGGGGGTTTAGCCGAGCATCTTCACGGACACGCGAGCTGTCACCGGTGAACCCTCACGGTTACGCGTCGTGGCGTTAACGAGGTTAACGTGTCGCCGTTACGGCAGCCGGGACAGTTAATAACGGCGTGACGACGCGAACCGTTAAATACAGCTGTCACGTTAACGTGGCGGAATCAATCCGCCGTTCCAACCTTCTCACGTTGGTCCCATGTTCCACACGAGGTTCCCCCCCCACCCCGACGGACGGACCTCCGTCGTCATCCTCCTCAAACCAGAACGAGAAATAAACGAAAACAGGCACATGCGAGGTCTCCTAAAGCAGCATGCTAACTAGTTAGCAAGTGGGACGCCCACACATACGTGTCGAATAACACGGCCGAATAAAGCAGGAACACCGCTATCGTGGAGCAGGTCGCTTTATTCAAATGTTCAGGTCAAAACAATGTGTCGCAATTGTGCCCTGGTCACAATACACGCGGCGTCACCGTGTGTAGTGACCCAGTTATTCGGCGTGCAGGAACCGGCCCCGATGAGCCACGAGAGGGTGTCGCTGCACCGCTTCATCCGCACAGGGTCGCTTCCGGTTTCCGGTGGACTCCTCCCCCCCGCCCCGCCCCGCCCCCGCAGGGGTTAAAGTGGTTCTCGTTACATTTAACAAGCCACAGCGTTCATGTGGCTGCAGAGACTCTTCAGGGTGGAGCCCGGATGCATCAGTTAAGGAAGTGATATTGAAAAGTGATGAATATTATTTAATGCAGGTCACAAGTCGCAGAAAACCCTCACAAATCAACCCCCCTCCCCCAGAAACATGTATTTCATTCGGCTGCATGGAAATAGTCTGTTATTTCGTAGACGAGGTGTGTGTAGAATCTGCTTACGTAACTCTGTCCCCGTTTCTTAAATAGATGAGCATGTGGGATTTGGACGCGTTGGGCGGTCCGCCTCGGTGGAACGCTTTACTGAGCAGCTCCACTCCGCCTGGAGGCCGCTGAATGTTTGGCATAGCAACCGCGTCAGGCCTCTCGTTACCACGGGGCTTCCTTCGCCCGCGCAGCTGTCTTCGGACCGCAGCTTTAAAGCGACAGCGAACAAAAGCACTGCCCCCCCCCCCACCACCACCACCACCACCATTACCCCATTGGTGGTTTGTTAACGAGAAGTAAAACCCAAATGATGTCCGGTCTCGAAATATGAAACGGTTGGTTTGACTTCCCTTAAGCGGCGTGGGGCGGAGGAGCCCCGCGGGGCCTCTGGGCTTCTGTCCGTCTCCTCTGATCTCTTGACAATAATGATTTGTTTGTCTGCTGCGAGTTGTTGCCCAGCAGGAGTGCACACCTGTGTGTGTGTGTGTGTGTGTGTGTGTGTGTGTGTGTGTCCCGGGTGGCTCCTCCGTCAGCTGATCGTAGTGGCAGTGTTGGGTTTCATCATGCTGTTTATTCCTCCACCCTGAAGTTCGAGGGGTGGGGGCGGCATGTGTGTGCTTGCGTGTGCTTGCTGTCGTGTTGACGTCTCCGGGCTCTGTTGAACAGAGACATTGCGTGTCCCCGAGCCTCACCCGTCCCTCCCCTTTCTGTCACCTTCACTTCTTGTTCTTTAACAACCCGAGGAGGAGGAGGATGGGGAGGAGTTTGATTCCAGCCCCCCCCTCCTCCCCCGGTTTGTTTATCTGTGCGCCGGTCGTCTCTCTCTCAGCTTATTGCGACACTTACTGTCACAAACGGATGACCCCAGCCGGGCATGTGTGTGTTTATATTTGAGTGTGTGTGTGTGTGTGTCAGGAGGGGGGGAGGGCTCTAGCCCGCGAGGCTATTAATACCACCTAATGAACATAATCTGGAGGGTAGGTGATCCTCTTTCATTCGTCTGCCCGAGGCCGAGGGGAGGAGTGCAGCGCGGGAGGAAGAGGAGGGAAAAGGCTGCTGTGCTGTTAATGCGCCACCTCCACGCTGCTCCACTCAAATCAAGAAACAGAAA